TTAAATCGAACTGGAATAATAGTTTTACAAATTAAGGTAAATGTTATAATATTTTTTAATGCTCATACAATATTATAGTAATATTAAATAATATTGTTTTTAATAATCACATAATATTATCAGGAGTGGACATATAAATATAATCCATTAATATTTCGGGAATATTATTCAATATTATATAATTTTAATAAAATATTATTAAAACGTTACATTTAATATTTATTTTAAGAATATATAAGTGCATAATATTATATAATATTATGCACTTATAGGACACTATATTTGCTATCTGTATCTCACTCAATGTGCCTAGAAATGAAACGTGCGACCAATCGGATTGAATTTGTAATCACATATTGGTCATTTACTTTTTATATCATCCAATTACACAATTAATAAATATATAACTAATTCGTTTGAATTTATCGTGTGCATTAAAGAACAAAGGAGGCCCACTAACTGTTAGTCGCCGATCTTAACAAGTGATCATTCAAAAGCACGCACATATACTTACATAAGTCGTTATCTCCCGAACAAACCCTGGTATGATATAAGTCTAATTTACACCAAATACTTTGTATGCGTATTAAGAACCATATTTATGCCAAATCACTTGATGCACTCTGTATTAAATGCTAGAGGAGTTCTTATTTCAGTGTACTCTGGTATATGATATTCCTGTATCTCACATATCTGAAATATTTTATTATTATATGTGCCTCATATCTCATACTTGTAAACGATAACTTAATTAAATTATTTGTGTTATTTTCAGGTACCTATGATCTACCATTCTTACTAGCCGGTGTACCTCCGATAATAGGAGCATTGACGATGTTCTTAATAAGATGCGTTAAAGAAAATAATGAGGGAAGTTTAAACGATTCTGAGAATATTCCAAGCAAAACAGATTGTCAAAATGGTCGGTAAAACCAGGTATCTGTATGTTATCAATTTTATTTGGGGCCATTAAAAAAAATACGTTCGCTTAATGAAGGGGAGGGGGTCATCGAAGGAGAGAGGGGAGTAAAGGAAATGTTCAATGTTCACGAATGTTCAATATTGTACTACTGTTTATTTATTTAAATTATTCACGTAATTGAATAAATTTTTAATTATAATATTTTTGTTATCGACAACGCTCATATCCCTTTTTCATTAGCAGATATGATATTTATTTTTATCAGCGCTCTTGGTATTTTGATTAGTGACTCAAAGTAGACACTTTCCTGAAAAGTGGAGGGGATAATGTTGGTATCATCTCTAAATGACATAATTTTAATTTACGTTTGCCTAGCTGCCCCCCCCCCATTTAACCAAATCTTAATAAATAAATTGTACAATAATGCGTTATTTATGCTTATGCGCTAATAATACTTTACTAGATTAATTGACATTGTTTTTCTCTGTATACTGTGATTGTAATTATACATATTCGAAATTTAAATTAGTGAGACAATGTTCATCGAATCTCTAATTACTTTTGAATTATATTGGGATGTTGTTTCAAAATAATTAAAATATAGAATACAAAATAATAATTCAAATATAGGTAATTGTAACCAATATGCAACAAAACAGTGTCTATAAAGTACGTTTATAAAGTATTATCTGTATTGATAATAATATATAATAACATCACTTATTTAGCTTTTAAATATAAAATATCTGTCGTTTAAATAATTATATTGAAATAATTATATGTTTTTTCATGAATTTTATATAATTTGGTCAAAAATATTACTTACAATAAAAAAATTAGTTTTGATACTTTTCTTCGAAGTAAAAAATATCATTCTTTTTACATCTCTAAAAATAAATATGATGAAAATGTTAGAATTTCGACAAATGCTATGTGATTGCCTTAACGCCAAGTTGGATGCTGTTCTCATATTGCCACTGTGATATATTTATCTCATGCTCGATATCTAACAAAAATAATAAGATCTGCCAAAATTTTAACTAATCTGTTCACTAAGAGAAGAAGTCCAGTTTATCCAGTAATGACAATAGCGATGAGGATCGACATTTGTCAAAATAAACATAAATATCAATTCAAAATATCTCCAACCCAGTGATTTAAAATGAAAACTTTATGTTATGCAATTATTAAAAATTAAAAAATAATTTAGCTATCATTACTTCCAACTTGTGATTAGCAAAACATTTTAATATGGAATTTTATAAATAAATAAAATAAGAGAGCTGATAAAAATGGTTTGTGTGGCTAATTTTAAAAAAAATTAAGAGAAATGTAAATTTAACTTTTTTTTTAATGTAATTCATTTTTTCAGATTTTTTCAAAAAATCTGAAAAAAAATATTTTGTAGGAAGTTGAACAGAGATTCACGTGCAATTTTTTAAAGGTGATCAACGAAAGCTTAAAAACATTTTTGAAAGTTATTTTCATTTTTTTCAGAATCAAAATTTGCACCCAAAAAAATAACAAAAATATCCTCATTATCTAGATATAACTGATTTTTCAAAATTTTTTTAGAATTTTATTTGATTTTTTATTAAGTTAAAATAAAAAAATTGTAAAAAAATTGTTTTTTCGCTCCAACTTGGTCACGTCTCCATATAGAAATCTAAAATTTGATATGTAAGCGTTTTTTTTAATACAAGAATTGTTACCTTAAAACTATTACCTTAGAAAAAAAAAGTCAACTCAAAAAACCGTGGGGGCATTTTCATACCGCTACGCCCTTTTTTTTTACTTTTGTATAGTTGTATAGTTACTTTTATATAGTTTATTTTTAGACTAGAATGTATTCTATCCTAAACTTATTGATATTTAATTATATTTTGTACTTTAAAATTATTAAATTTGCAGCAAGAATGAAGAATAGTGATTTTTCGCCGGCGAGCATAGTCGAGCAAATATGCGAATCAGCGATGCAAGAGAAATATAGTACAATGTGCAAATCCCTGCCATCGTCTCAGTGCTATTGTGTCAAACAACCGGTCAAATTGCAAAACTGTTCAGCATGCAATAGTTATCAGTACAAGTATTACTACAGATATTCGGAAAGTGAACCATTACTTCATAGAGAGAGGATCTCATGATATCCGAGCATAATTTTTTCTTACAATTTATAGTAAATCATCAATGTTTTATATGTTTTAAATTTGTATTCTGACATAGCAAATTCTTTGCTCTGAAGAATTCCATTGTTCGTTATTCCTACAAGTGTGTATTCAGATTCCAATCTGGTTGCTTCCCAGATATCTTGTTATCCTTGTTTAATGTTCGATAAACAAAAAGAATAAAATGATACCTAGGAATATGAACATAGCCTAAATGAAAATAAAGACGAAATTCATTAAAAAATATGGTTCCTTTTTTTATATTGAATAATTACATAAAGGTATTATTAAGACTCAAGACTCAATTTTAAAAAAATTTAATAAATACGAAAGAAAAGATTAAAAGAGCTCAAGCTGGATGTTTAATGTGATCCCAACTAAATATTCATAGAAAGTTCGATTCGTATTACCAATGTACCGAATGTTCCGGAACAGTAATAGAATCATCACAGAATGTGCAAATGTCGATGAAATGTTCAGAATATTATGTGAATATTCTTTGCATATTTCACGAAAATCGCGAGTGAGCGAGCAATACACATCTCCGCCATTAGAGGGTCATGACAAAGAGCATTTATTCGTAAATAAAAATCACCTGGGGAGTTTTTGCAACATCATTTATCCAGCGATAAGCTGCTAAGATCAGGTTATTTTCTTCTTAATAATTACTTAAAAAAAGGAAATAACGTGATTTTAACATTCATTAAATATGTTTTTCAAAGTAAAATTTTGTTTAAAAACTGATTTATGAATCTGATCTGAAATTAAAAAAAAAATTAAAATTTTGCAGAATATAATACAGAGTATGCTGGAAATATGTAACGACATATAAATGATATTTTTAACTGACATTTAAATGTTTCTTTTACATCTTTTAATAAATATTCGAAATATTTTGTAGTATGCTTGGAATATTTTTTGGGAATTTTAAGAATATTTTATAAATATTTCATAATTTCATTTTATGAATATGTAGTATTTGTTGGATATATTAGTAAACGTACAAATGACAAAAATGAAACAAACATTTCAATCTCTATTGAGTCATTCTCAATGTTCAAATATAGTTAAAAATTTAATAAATGCTATATTATTAAAATATACAACTATAATTTAAAAATATACAACTATAAAATATAATATATCTACAAATATAAAAATCTTAATAATATAACATTTTTTTATATGTTAAAGTCGCTCACAATTCCTTGTGAG